ACATTGTCATTATCATGGTCATTTGGAACATACTTGTCATTTGAAGAAAGGAAAACATTTTAAAATTAGGATAGTATGGGTTCCGAAAGGAACAAGGGGCATTGAAACTAACGTCCAAGGATCCAAAGCAATTTGGATACCAAAATCTACTTAAATGTCTCTTGTAGGTGTATGGGAGCAATGGTGATGAGGGTGATGAGAGTGATGATATTCAAGATGCTCTAGCCACACATGAAAAAGGAATGGGTAACCTCTAAGCTTAATGCTTTTAATTTTGGTTATTTGGTTGCTCATTTGATTTTAAGCATGCATGGGTTTTGTTTTTAAATGATTATGCATCATTGTTTTAATCTCATGTCTGTTGAAAAGATGGTTATGATAAACATTTTAAAGTTATATTAATTTTTAAGAATTTTTAGTTCATCATAATAAAATTTTGGTCAAAATTGGTTTTAATGCAATTGATATCTCTCTAACAATTGATATCAATTTTTCAAATACTTTGATTTTACAAATTTTAAAATTTTGACCTAAATTTGAATGTTTATGCATGTGGTTTAAATGAAAATGATATCTCTCTAACAATTGATATCAAAATTTTCAAATATATAACATTTTTGGAAAACTTTATGAATGCATTTATTGAGGGGGAGCTTTGATTTTTTCAAATGATTTTTAAAATGTTAAATTTACTACTTAATCTCCAAAGTTATTTTGAACTTTAAAAGATTAGAGTCTTTTTGATTTAACAAAAAGGGAGAAAAGTGTTAAGGTGTTTTAAAGGGGAGAAGTGTTAAAGTAAGGGGGAGTAATTTAAACTTGAATTCAAAATCTTAAAATTACTCAAATGTTTTGTTATATCAAAAAGGGAGAGATTGTTGAAAACATTTTGATGTTTCGATATAACAAATGAATTTTAAGATTTTGCAAATAATTTTCTAAGTATATTCGATATAATTATTCGAATATCAAAATATTACTCCAAGTCTTTCAAAGTTCATTTTAATCCTTACTAAAGTGTAAAATTGTGTTTTATACTTAAACTATTTTAAAACAATTTTACAAAGTATTTCGAGCCTTAATCGAGCCAAAAATACTTTCTTTTTAAAGGGTTTCAAGAAAAATCAGATTGTCCAGGGGGTACCGATTCCCCCCAAGGGGAACAGATTCCCCCCCAGGGGGTACCGATTCCCCCTGTCTAACGGTCAAAAACATATTGCAATTAGGGAACCGATTCCCCATGAGGGGGTAACGATTTCCCCCACGCTCCATGTTGTTTTATTAATTGTTTCTCATCCCCAAACGGCTCCAAAACACCCCCAACGACTATATACGACTTCAAACACATTCCAAGCTATAAATACAAGCTATAAATACAAGCTAAGGACACTTGAAGAAACAAGAGAACAACTATCCAAGCAATCAAACACAAGAGAAGAGTTTTTCAATCTTATTTAATCTTTCTCTTGTAAATATTTTGTTCTTGTGAGCTCAATCTTGTAAACACCTACCTTAGAGAGGTTTTCTTGTTTACATTTCTTATCCTTTTGTAAAGGGGAAAGGTTCTAGCTAATCCTGTGTAAAAGCTAGAGAAAGGTTCTAGTTTAGCCCGGAAAAACTAGAGAGTTTGTAAGGTTACTCTTTATCCTCAAAAGAAAGAACAAATTAGTGAATTTGTTGGAAAATCCTTGGTGAGGAGCTAAGGTAGTGGACGTAGACTTTGATTGAGAAAGTCGAACCACTATAAATCACTGTGCAATTCTCTATCTTTCAATCTCCTTACTCCCTAAACACAAAACCATTCTGACCCCTCTTTGCAAACCATTCCGGTTGTCGATTCGAGCTTCCAAAAATCCTAACACTTTTCCTCTCCTATACAAACCGAGGTAACTGCTGAACCTATCTTTGATTCAAATAACACTGAAATTTTTGATCCTGTCTCTAATTCAGAGATTTTTGATTTTCCCATTGAGATTAAAATAAGAAAAAAGGAGTTGCACCATAAAAAACCCTTGTTACCTATTTTTGTCTTACAAAAATTTGTCTCACAATCACCAAGCCTTCCTTACAAGCCTAAACACCATCACCATTCCTAAAATCGTGTCCGAGGCATAAGAAAATGAGAATTGGAAGAATGTCATGCAGGTTGAGATGGAAGCATTAGAGAAGAACAAGACATGGGACTTGGTGAAACAACCAGAAGGGAAGAAAGCAGTAGGATACAGGTGGGTGTTAACAATAAAATACAAGTCAGATGGATCGTTAGAGAGATACAAGACAAGGTTGATGGCTAAGGGTTATTCTCAAACCTATAGGATAGATTATCTCGAAACATTTGCCCCTATTGTAAAGATGAATATTGTGTTCAAGGAAAATGATTTTTGGAATTTGGAAGTTGGAATCAATACTAGCTGGAGCTTAAGGCATATCCTTAAAATGAGGTATGAGGCTTTTCCTGTTATGTCTACTAGAGCTATAAAGGTAGGTGATATTTGGGAAGTGATTAGGGTGAAGTGTACTAAAGTACCAAGGAAGAAGCTGATATGGTTTCCACTCCATATCCCAAAACATAATTTGATTGTGTGGATGACTTTACTTGATATACTCCCAACAAAGGATAGGCTGCATCGCATGGGGCTTGTTATCGAATGTCAATGTGTTTTTTTGTAATGCTTCTTTGGAAACAAGGGACCACTTGTTCCTTGAGTGTCATGTGGCTGCTTCTTTATGGGAGGCAGTCTTCAATCTTAATGGCTTACATAGTAGATCCTCGTCATGGGAGACTCACATAGCTTGGGCTTGATGTGCATGGAAAGGTAAGTCCTTACTCATAACAATCATGAAGATAGCTTCGAATGCACTAATCTACACTCTATGGGAGGAGAGAAACAAAAGCTTGTTCCAAGGTCGTTCAAGAAATATTGAAAAAATGCTTCATACTATTAAGGAAATAGTAGGTATACAATTAAGGGGTAGGAATTTAAATAGAATTGATAGTGTTAATATTACACTTTGTAATTATTGGGGTATAGTTTGATCGTTGTTTGTTTTTGTAAGTAGGGTGATCAAATGTAATCAGAAATCTGATTGTTTTTGTAGCAACTATATGCTTCTTTGGGTAATAAAATCGAATTATCAAAAAAAAAGGACGGAAATTGCAACAATATGATACTAAAAACGCCTTCTTACATGGAGATCTCAAGGAAAAAGTTTATATGAACATCCCACCTGGATTTAGTCCAAGTGTTCGGCAGAAAGTGTGTATGTTAAAAAAGGCTTTATATGGATTAAAGCAGTCTCCAAGGTCTTGGTTTGGAAGATTTACTAAAGTAATGTTGAAGTTGGGCTACAAACAAAGTCAGTGTGATCATACTTTGTTTGTGAAACATTCTGCTAATGGGGGAGTTACTGCCTTATTGGTGTAAGTAGATGACATTATAGTCACAGGTGATGATTTGAAAGGGGTTGATGATCTAAAGAAGTGTTTGGTGAAAGAGTTTGAAGTCAAAGATCTAGGGAGATTGAAATACTACCTATCACATACCACACCAGACATTGCCTATGCTGTTGGAGTTGTGAGCCAATTTATGAAAAATCCTAAAGAAACACACCTAAGGGTTGTGAATCAAATTCTACAGTATTTGAATGGTACACATGGCAGGGGAATTTTGTTTAAAAGAGGAAATTTAACTTTAGAAGCTTATACTAATGCGAACTATGCATGATTAGTGGATGATAGAAGATCAACCTCAAGGTACTGTACTTTTTTGGGAGAAACTTTAGTGACATGAAGAAGCAAGAAATAGAATGTTGTGGCTAGATCCAGTGCAGAGGTTGAGTTTAGAGCAATGTCACTTGGAATCTACGAATTATTGTGGCTAAAGATTATTTTAGAAGATTTAAAGATTAAGTGGGAAGGTCCAATGAAGTTGTATTGTGACAATAAATCAAAAATTAATATTGCTCATAATCTAGTTAAGTAGGATAGAACAAAACATGTTGAAGTGGATAGACATTTCATAAAGGAAAAACTCGACAGTAGGCTAATTTGTACTCCCTATTTGTCCACTGGAGATCAAGTTGCATATATACTTACCAAGTGAACACCTGGTAAGCTTTTTCAGAAGTTAGCAGGCAAGCTGAAGATGGAAGACATCCACTTTCCCGCTTGAGGAGTGTCAGAACATTGATTCCGAAATTAGGAATATTATGAGTAATTAAGATAGGATTATGTAAATATTTATTAGTTGTTGTAATCCCTAACTTTAAGGGATTGTGTATTCCTTAGAATTAGATACTCTCCTAGCTTAAGTGTTTCCTAAGTTAAGGCTACTACTTGTATAAATATGTAACACTACCTACAACAGAAATACATGAGTTTTACACATAATTTCATTGTTTTTAACAAATATTACTCAAACTTTGGTGCGAGTGCCAGACACAGATGTGTCTAACACAAGCATGTTCAGTCTTTTCACCTAGATTTCACGTATTTAGTTCTTACGGGGATTATGTCCTATACCATATCTAGACATGGTTAGACTATGGTGTTGGAAGCGGACACTTCAAGAGAAATAAAGAGGTAGAGCAACATAGGGGGAGGCAGACTGATTCCAAGTCACCCGAACCTGCTTATTTTTGTTAAGCTCAGCTCTAGGTGCCCTGCTACTAGAATTATAACTAAGTAAAATTTCAAGCAATGTAACTGCTTATATGATTAGTCCCATATGATTTCACTTGAATTTGATTGTTGCGGATTCCACCGGTTAGGATAGTCTTTCAAGGGATGCAAAATGACTAAAGAAACAATTTCTAGCTCCGTCAATAGCAACAATAATAGTATCAAACATCTACAAGACTACAACAAAGCAACTTGATGCAGAACAACGAAAGAAGCAGAAAAATCATAAATAACTTAATCTAATGAAGAGATGTAAGCATAAAATAAGTTCTATACTAAATTCAACACGATATATATACAGAAAGAGATCAAAGAGTACCTTAACATTGCTAGACTGGAAGAAGATGAAGAGATAATAACCGATCACAAGACCGGCTAAAATCCCAACTCCAAATCCACATAAACCCAAAATAGTAATAAAAAATCCTATCAATTCCAACACAAACACTTAACTTTCTTTTAAGCCTTCCCTGTATACCAAAACCCCCTAAATTACATCGTTTCTCTAACTCCAAGGAAGACAACACACGAGTTCCCTGGCGGTGAAGCGATTGGTGATATTTTATGGGTTTTTTAAATGGAAGTTGAAAATGATGTGAAATGGTCTGGATCTATCAGTTGAGTGCTCTTTTTTGGGGATGTTGGATTCCACGAAGAAAATGGTTCTTGGGATTTGCCAAGGAACCGAACCGGGTCATTAGAGTTAAATTAAATTCGGTACGACAGTTTTACTACTACAATTGATTGGTATTTAATCTGCTAAAAACGGAAATGGAAGGTGTTACGAATTAGGGGTGAATTTTGGAGATTTTAGAAGAGAGATAGAAAAGTGTTGAAAATATTTTGATATTTTGATATAATAAATTAAGTTAAATTAATTTTAAGATTTTTTAAAAGATTTTTTAAGTATATTCGATATATTTCGAACAATTTCAAAGCCAAAATTCCAGATTGCTCAGAGGGAACCGATTCCCCCCAAGGGGGTATCAATTCCCCCTGAATGGTTTGCTCCGAGAAAAACAGAATGCTCGGAAAGAACCGATTCCCCACCAAGGGGGTACCGATTCCCCTTATTTAACAGTCAAAATATTTGAATTTTACACTTAGGGAACCGATTCCCTATAAGGGGTACCGATTCCCCCACGCTCCAAGCTGTTTTATTAATTGATTTCACACTAAAACGGCTCCATTGACTCCACTAATCATCCCCAACATTCAGAATCAATTGAAGGAGTATTTAAACAAGCTTAGAAGCCATTGATCAAGACAAGAAACAACAATCAACAAGAATCAAGAGAGAATCAAAGAGAAAGCATCAAACCTCAAGTTTGAGCATTTTCAAGCCTATTTCATTCAATATTCATTTTTGATTTCAAGAACACTTATTGTGCTCAATTGTATTATCTTGTGTTCTTTCTTTGTTCTAGAATTTTGCAAACATCTTGCCTTGTGAGGATTTTCTTGTAAGTTTGCAAAATTTTTATTGTTCTCTTTGGGAGAGAGTGTTTTCAAGAATTTGGGGTATAATTCTTGAGGGATTTGTAGGTTACTCTTTGTCATCAAAATAAAAAAAAATTAGCGAATTTGTGAAAAATCCTTAGTGTGGATAGCTAAGGTAGTGGACGTAGACTTTAGTTGAAAAAGTCGAACCACTCTAAATCGCTACGCAATTACTTTTAATTTTCTGTAAAGTTTCCACCGAAATTTTTATTTGCCAATTCACCCACTCTTAGCCTATTCCATTGATTGATTAACTCAACAATTGGTATCAGAGCCTCACTCATTTGAAGGTTTAATCGCCTCTTGAGTCGATTCAGGAAGAGTTACATCGATTTTCAAGTCATCAATGGTCGGCGCTTCAAACTCCGATTTCGGTCTTGATTCATTGCCCGTTAACAAGCCTCATTTCTTCAATGGAGCTAATTATGCTTATTAGAAGAATAGGATGATGTATTTCATTCAAGCAAGTGACATGGGAGCATGGAATATCATAGAAGACGGATACATCAAACCTTCCACTCATCTAAGATTGTGGAGTGAAGGAGAGACAAGAATGTTCCGGCTCAATTCCAAAGCTATCCATATTATCTTTTGTGCTCTTGGACCGGATGAATACGAGAGAGTTTCATATTGCACAACCGCCAAGGAGATATGGGACAAACTACAAGTCACTCATGAAGGCACAAACGAGGTAAAAGAATCTAAAATTAGTCTTCTAACTCATAGCTATGAAAATTTCAGGATGAAATCGGATAAAGATGTCAAAGCTATGATGCATAGATTCTCCATAATTGTCAATAGTCTCAAATCATATGGAGAAATCATTCCAAATGACAAGCTTGTAAGGAAGTTAGTTTACTCTCTTCTAAAAGCTAGGCAATCAAAGAAGACGACGATCATCGAGGATAAGAACTTAAAATCCTTGACCCTCGATGAACTTATTGGCTCTCTCCTCACGCATGAAATGATGCTTAAAGAAGAGGAAGATCTTGAGAAAAGAGACGAGTCAAAGAATGAGACGGAGAAAAAAAAGAACGTGGGAGTTTCTCTCAAATCAACAAAAGATGCGAGTGATTCGGATGAAGATGACGATGACGAGGAAATGACATTGTTTGCCAAACGGTTCAGAAAAATGATGAGGCCTAACCGAGGAAGAAAATTCAAAGGAAATGAAGGCTTCAAAAATAAACCAAAAGAGAAGGACCCAATCATTTGCTATGAATGCAAAAAACCGGGGCATGTCAAATATGATTGCCCACATTGAAGAAGAAGGTCAATCAAAGATTAAGCACAAGGCTCACATGGCTACATGAAGCGATGAAGAGGGTTTCGATGAAGAGGAACAAGAAGTAGCACACTTGTGCTTGATGGCATTTGGGGAAGATTCTAAGGTAACCTCTAACTCATTTGATTTAGATGATTTATCTTATGATGAACTATTAGAGGAATATAATGGGTTGGCTTCGGATTATGAGAAATTGTTTTTAAAATATAAAAAATGATATTTCGAAATTGAAAAATGAAAAGAATCTCATATCCAAGACCAACAATGATCTTGAAAGTAAAATCAGTGATTTGCAAATCAAACTAGAAGAGTTTGAAAAGAAACATTCAGATTTACAAAATTTACTTTCAAAGGTCAATGATGATCATCAAAAGAAAATTGATGATCTTAAAACTTCTTTTAATAAAGTTGGAACAAAACATTTTGAAAATGGAGAAAATTCAAAATCCAACTTTGTTAGAAAAAGTTTTAAAAACTACAATCATAGAGGTCCCCGAAGAACCTCTAATGGAAAAATCGTTAGAAGTGTATGGGTTCCTAAAGGACTCATTATTACTAAAGATAAGGATATCATACACAAATGGATACCTAAGGGGACTAGAATTTTGGAAACTAATGAATATGGACCCAAAAGAATTTGGGTACCAAAAATAAAAAATTAATCTATGTTTGTAGGAGAAGGAGCATTGCTACAAGGCACGAGAAACAAATTCAAACACATGGTACCTTGATAGTGGATGCTCAAGACACATGACCGGAGACAAACGATTCATAGAGCTTAACGCCAAAAATGGAGGAGAAGTGACTTTTGGTGATAATTCAAAAGGTCACATTGAAGGTATAGGTACAATAGGTAATACCTCTTCCATACAAATTAGAAATGTTTTATATATGAATGGATTAAAGCATAATCTTTTGAGCATTAGTCAATTTTGTGATAAAGGATTCAATGTCATGTTTGAAACTAATGGTTGTAAGTTCATTGACATTGCATCTAATCGGATTATGCTTGTTGGTCATAGAATAGGAAACATATACATGGTGCATTTAGACTCTATAAAAATGACTAATTTATGCCTAGTTGCTAAGGATGAGCATGATAGTATGTTTTGGCATAGAAGACTAGGACATGCTAGTATGAGTGTTTTGCATCGGTTTATTCAAGGAGATTTGGTTCGAGGGCTTCCTAAACTAAAATTTGATAATGATAAAATTTGTGATGCTTGTGCTAAAGGAAAACAAAAGCGATTTTTTTAAAATCCATTAATGACGTATCCACTAGTAGATTATTACAATTGATTAATTTAGATCTTTTTGGGCCATCTAGAACTACTAGCTTGGGTGGAAAACAATATGCATTTGTCTTGGTAGATAACTATTCTAGATATACTTGGGTTCTATTCTTAAGTACTAAAGATGAAGTTTTAAAAAAATTCATCACGTTTTCAAAAGTAATCCAAAACGAAAAAGGTTACTCTATAACTAGTGTTAGGAGTGATCATGGAACTGAATTTGAAAATCTTGGATTTACTTAATTTTGTAATTCTAATGGTATTAGCCATAATTTTTCAGCACCTAGAACCCCTCAACAAAATGGAGTTGTTGAGAGGAAAAATCGAACTTTAGAAGAAATTGCTAGAACCATGCTTTGTGAAAACAATTTGCCAAAATATTTTTGGGCAGAAGCCACAAATACCACTTGTTATATTATTAATCGAGTAATGATTAGGCCTATTTTGAAGAAAACTCCATATGAACTTTTTAAAAATAATAAGCCTAACATTAGATATTTTCATCCTTTTGGATGTAAATATTTTGTTTTAAACAACGGTAAAGACAATCTTGGCAAATTTGATGCTAAAAGTGATGAAGGAATTTTCTGGATTATTCCTTAAATTATAAAGCTTATCGAGTATTTATAAAAAAACCTTAGTTGTAGAAGAGTCTATACATGTTGTTTTCGATGATACTCTCCTTCCGAGGAAGGATTCTTGTTTGAATGATGATGTAGGTGTTATAAATACAAATGACGTTAGACATGACGTTGGAGAACCATCATCAAAGGAAGAAACGAAAGATGAGGAAACTCATGATCCTCTCGAGAATCTAACCATTGAAGAAAGGGAAGTATCTTACCCAAGAGATTACAACTATGTCAAGGATGGTAAAATTATAGTGATCCATCCAAAGGGGTAACAACTCGATCCTCTCTTAGAAATATTTGTAATTATGTTGCATTTATCTCGTGCATAGAGCCTAAGAATATTAAAGAAGCATTAAATGATGAACATTGGATTATGGCTATGCAAGAAGAGTTAAATCAATTTGAGAGGAGTAAAGTTTGGACATTAGTTGAAAGACCTAGTAATAAATCTACTGTAGGTACTAGATGGGTATTTAGGAATAAACTTGATGAAAGTGGTAATATAGTGAGAAACAATGCTAGACTTGTTGCTCAAGGGTATACTCAAGAAGAGGGCATAGACTATGATGAAACATACGCTCCCGTAGCTAGGATGGAAGCAATTAGAATGTTATTAGCATTTGTATGTTTTCACGAATTTAAATTATATCAAATGGATGTTAAAAGTGTATTTTTAAATGGTTTTATAAAAGAAGAAGTGTATGTGGAACAACCTCTAGGTTTTGAAGATTCAAAATTTCCAAATCATGTTCTTAAATTGACAAAAGCTCTTTATGGTTTAAAACAAGCTCCTAGAGCTTGATATGAAAGATTGTCAAACTTTTTAATTGAAAAAAGGTTTTTCAAAAGGGAAGGTTGACACTACATTGTTTTTAAAGCATAAAGGTAAATATTTATTAGTAGTTCAAATTTATGTTGATGATATAATATTTGGTTCTACTAATGATGTTCTTTGCCAAGAATTTTCTAAGCTAATGC